AAAACAATTTGTCTGTACCTATGTAATTGAGCACCAAATTCCTGAAATAACTTTGTTATTTTCAAACTCAATGTCGAGCGACAAGAATAGAGGTTGCATTTTTAAATATCAGTCAGATCAAGGGAAAACTTCTTATATATATAGTTTGAGTAAACAGTCAAAAAGCTTTATCAGGAAGATGGTGCAAAGATGCATCGCGTATGTGTAACTAGAATCGTTTTCATAAGTAAATGTATCTTCCCTTTATATCTTTACAGATCGAAGCACTCTGGATCTCAAAATCAGCTCTTTTAAATAGTTTTGAAATTGCTAAAATACGTTTTAGACCGAGCCTCAAAAGTGAGATAAAACAACTTGAATTTTACTCTTAGACAGCAGACTCTGATGAAAGAAATGTTTAGCATAAACTGTAAGCTAGTCAAAAACTCGTCCACTTAGGATTTCTCCTGAACTTCGAATACTTGAAGATGGTGTACAATTATATATAGCTCCAGAACTTTGAAATATTAGTTGTCAAAAGTTTTACGACTTTGAAATACAATGGAGAACCTTTGAAATCTGCAGTAAAAAAAATTTAAAAAAGTGCATTTGTTAACACAGTGGCCACTATTTCAAAATAAACATTTGCCAACCACGGAATATAAAGGTTTTTGTTGCAGATAAGAAAACATCTAGTAGCTGAACATTATAAAAAATTTGTCTTAACCTATAAAGTTTGGAAATTTGACCATTCTCATGAAGAATCCTTTATAAAGCAAGCAAGAATAATCAGAACAAAGCAACATTCTTCAGCAAGAACAGAAAAACTACTGAACTGTAATTTTTTAACGTTAAAGAATCATTAACAATTTCCTTTAACTGGAAATTCGTGCATGAAAAAAAAAAAACGGCATACGAAATTGTGACAACTGTTTTAAAATCTTCCGAGAAGTTATTAAAAAGAAAAAAGTGTTTGCGTATTTTTCTCAATTTTCTAGAAATGTCAGGTAACAATTTTGATCAAAAAACATCTGTTCGGTCATGCCACTCGAACTTTTCTAATATTTTAATTTGCTGCCACGTAATCTGTAATTTTATTCAGCGTCTGCAAAGTGTAAAACAATGTAAAACATTTTTATTCGATCAAAACTAAAAATCCTCCTAAAAAAATAACTTTTGATTAACAAATTTCTTTCTTTTATGCTCTTATAAATATGCCA